ATTTTAATCAGTAAAACCAGGTGGTCGTATTTTTTGATGGGCATTCGTTTCCTTCTTTACTCGTGGATGTTGAGAGCCATGAGGATCTGTAACATTCGGACTTATCCCCGAAGGGACTTCTCAGACGCTTGATGTTCTCTAAGAGAACACCAGGAAGATTTTACACGCATGGAGTTGTCACATTCCTTGGCTAGCGAGGTATTGCAATGCTTGCCAAGTTCAGAAGTGCTCTTAAAAGAGCACATCCGTTCATGTGCCTTAAAAAGGGCAGTTTTGTGATTTCTGGTATAGCTTTTCAGCCGTGCATTTCACCACTCCCGGAGAGAAAAAGAAGGCACTCTACCTCTGGCTCCTGTAAGCCCCTCCTGCTATGGTACGATCACCACGAGTCCAACCTCAAGTGAGGGCTACTTGGAATCACCCCGTCTCGTGGTACCGTATTATTTTAAGGTGGGACTGAGGAATTCCCTACTGATGCACACCGTTATCTGAGAGGTGCGGGTTCAGTAACACAGGAAACAGAGGGAAGAAAGGAAAGAATAAAGAAATAGGGTAAAGAAAAGAAGGAAAAGGGGGAAAAACCTCCACCATCGGTTACCCCCAGGCACCAGAGTTGATGGTCGGACTTTGCCTGTGTCCATAGGTAAGATGTGCCCATAGGACGATTTTTTTTATGGGCAGTGTATTTGAATTGCATGAATTCTGAATTTCTTTCCGTATTTTTTAATATCCACACAAGTTGCTGTTTTGTCATATAATCCTCACTCTGTACCTCTGAGATCGACCTACGGCTGCGTAAAACCAGTAGATCTTTTCATAAAAACAGCGTGCAGAAAGAGAGAAATAGAAACGACGAGTCGCCCACGGCTTGTTTCGCAAAAACCGTGGACATGTCTTTACAATTGCCAAACCGCAGACCTTCTTATCCTTTTTCTCTCAAGAAGCTTTCCCCCCGGCTAGGGTCGTTCTCGTTAATTTTATGCTTAATCAATACGACATTTTGAGCCATTCCTATTGGCTATTTTAATCAAGAATATAGGGAGAAAGAAAATGTGTGTGTGTTTTCCTCAATTCAGTAACCCTGACCTGAAGCAGTTTAGTTCAATTTGCGCCTATGATAGATTAGAGATTTGTGCGTTACAATCTTTTATTGTTTCTAATTTTTTATATATAATTTTATAATATACAAACTTCAATTTTGCTGAGTTTAATTATCTACTTCTTTTTGGAATTATTTGACATTTCAATATTTTAATACTGTTTGTTTAATTTTACATCTTTCGTTTTTAATAATAATTTTAATTATTACTTTACACGCTCAATACACTTTTATACCCTTTTATGACGGTAATTATTATCATCAATCTATTTCAGTAATAAAATTTATCACAAATAAGTATATTTGAGACGTCCTATCTTGTGGAAACACCAGGTTCTGGACTCATTAAGGTTCAATTTTAAGATATATCCTCTTTTGTGGCAGGATGCTAACTAGTTCAGAACTCAGAGCCCCTTCTTTGACCAAATGTCAACCTTTTCGTTGCCACTATGCCCCGAGTGCCTATGGATCAGGGTGGGCGATCAAGACCCGAGTGGTTAAATGCCTGGGTAGACTCGTACCCCATCCCTTAAAGGTCCAGGACTTGGTCGGCTCGCGTGTCCTTTATAAATCTCTTGGACTTGTTCACAAACCCCAAGATTTTAGACCTTTTTATCTCGGGGAGTGATTTGGTAATGTCCGCTCAAAGATTTCAAATCTGAACCTAGCATACCTATCACACTCTGTGAGGTAGTGCCTTGCCGTTTCTTCTTTTATTTCGCAAAAACGGCAAAAGGGATCTGGTAGAATACCCATTACGGAGAGGTGTCTTCTCAGTGGGCAGTGGCCCGTCAGAATACCTATCAGCCTCTTAATTCCCTTCCTTGAGATAGAGAATAGCCATTTCGATTCTGCTGGTTTGACCACCTTAACGAATTCTTTCGATTGCCTGTGTCCGGGGGATAAATTCCACTCCTTAAGGGATTGTTTCATGCCCCAGTTATTAATACTCTCTTTCGCTATGCTCATAGAGTGAGGTAATACCGGTGTGGCCCAGCAGAATTAGAACCTACTTCGGCCAGGCCATCCCGCCTTTTCATTGCCATGGTGTCCTTTATGTGCTGGTATCCAAGAACTATCCATCCTGGTATCCAACCCATGCCAGGGTCATAATTCTTCCGTCAGAGCCTCCATGCAGTTTCAAACACCCTTTGCCTTCGCCTCCCATGAGATTAGGGCCCTTAGTAAGCCTGACTGTCAGCTAAGATGGCTATCTTCCGAGAATGTATTCCTAGCCTTTTTATTTCTCTGGCGCAGTGTTCAATCGCTATGATTTCAGACTGGAAAACTGTAGCATATTTACCTAGGTTTATCGTCAATTCGGTCTTTGGGTTCATCCCGAAGACTACAGCTCCCGTGCCCTCGTCGGTTTTGGGGCCGTCTGTATACCAGTAGTAGTTTGCCTTTAGCGGTGTTCCTTTGGCCCATTTTCCCGTTCTGGCACCTCATGGGACCTTGTACGTTTTAGTAAAATTGTACCTTGGAGTAGTGGCATCAATTGGCATGCCTAAAATGGCATCTGCCTGATTCTCGTCCCTCAGTTTTTTCCATGGTTTATTTACTTATCCTTGCGGATGGTTGTCCAATGATGAGCCTGTGAGCTGCTGCTCTGGCTTCTCCTTGGATTAAAATATGAAGTGGCGGGAGGTTTAACAATTCTTTTAAGGCCGCAGTTGGCGTTGTGCTCACGGCTCCAGTGACACTGAAACAGGTTTGTCTTTGGGTGCCACGTAATAGCCTGATTGCTTTGGCCCGCAGAGTCTTGATCCACCACACCACCGACCCATATGTCAACATTGGTCTTAAGACGGAGGAGGTATACAGCCTTATAATCATTTTGGAGTTTAAACCCCAGTTCATGGCGCAGAGCCTTTTGCACCTCCCCCCAGGCAATTTTAGCTCTGGGTAGTTTTAGTCAAATGCGAATTCCATGTGAGCCGCTGTTCAAGTGTGATCTCTAGATATTTGGCCGTTTAGACTTTTAGAGTTTTTAGGCTTCCTATTGTCCTCTTCTTTGTGAATAGGATCATTATGGTTTTGTTGGGGTTAATAGCTAGCTCCTCCATTGTGCACCACCTCTCAACCATATTGAAGGCTTTTCTTTCTGAAGAAAAGATAATGATATTCAACAGCACCCAGAGGTCTGTAGTATGATACATACGGTGCGTAGGTCTCGGGTTATTTACACATGGAGAATAGAGAAAAACTTCAGAAATACTTTATTAAGAAAATTCTCTGCCTGCTAATTAGAACCCCTATGGCTCATGTATTGAGAGCTCGGTCACACCACTCAACAGCTACACTGTGAGCCTGCATCTCAAATATTTCAGAAAAGTACTGAACCCACCTGACACACTGACGCAGTTTTGGCCAACTTGGTAATAAATAAAGGCATATTGCGTCAACAAGCAGATGTCAGAGTTAGGTAGGCTGTACGGTGTAAGAGTATGTAAGAACTGAAGTCCTCTAATGGCACTAAGCTGATTAAAATGATAGCAAAAGGAACGATCTGGGAAATCGTGCGAGAAATAGCTTAACTTGTAAAACACAAAACTGGATTTAAACAGGCCGAAACTACATGAGTTTCTTTAGTATGACAACCCACGAGGTGTATTTAGTTTTAAGGGCGAGGGGTGAATTGCTCCAGCTGAACTACCATCATTTTATCATTATGCAACCACAACGCCCCAGAGGACTTCGCTTCAAAAGTACTTTGAAAAACTGATACTGGATAAAGAAAAAGTTATTGCAATCCTAACGGAACGGATAACTGGAGGAATCTTGTGGCGTATCTAACTCAAGATTGAATATCTGATCGACCACTTCAATTTCTAAAATCAAATAAACGTACCTTAAGTAACAAAAATTGGTGTATAAGGCAACACGACAGACGGCTAAGGCCAGTGTCAATAATAGCTTGTACTAAATATCGATATTCCACACGTACAGCCTGAAATCGATAGTCAAATATCGAACCTCAACAGCAAAATATCGATTCTCAACACGTGCAATTGAAATCGATGGTCACATGCCAAACTTCAACAGCAAAATATCGATACTCAACACGTACAACTTAAAATCGATAGTCAAATATCGAACCTCAACACAAAATATCAATACTCAACACGTACAGCCTGAAATCGATAGTCAAATATCGAACCTCAACAGCAAAATATCGATTCTCAACACGTGCAATTGAAATCGATGGTCACATGCCAAACTTCAACAGCAAAATATCGATACTCAACACGTACAACTTAAAATCGATAGTCAAATATCGAACCTCAACACAAAATATCAATACTCAACACGTACAGCCTGAAATCGATAGTCAAATATCGAACCTCAACAGCAAAATATCGATTCTCAACACGTGCAATTGAAATNCGGAATGCTACAGAGGTAAACAAACAATATCATTTGGAAGAGGATTAATAAGTGTTGACATTCATACAAATGAGTAATCCTGTAAACGTAAACAGAATATTTTATATAGATTTTTTTTAATGAAAACTTAAAATCCTGCATTATTTTCCGGACAACCCGATATATAATGATAATTATATGAATAATGGAAACTTTATGGTAGAAAGAAAATTTAACTGGTTTTAACAAATGTGCGATGTGAAATAAGCTAAGGCAGTATCAAGTCGTTCACAAAATTCCCAGACAAGCTTTGCCACTTAAAATGATACTTTAATGCAAAGGATTTCTTGATTAGGGTCTTTGAACTTTGATTGCAACAAACCGGATTCGATGAATAACATTCCAGGGTCATGACCAAGGAGAAATTGGTAACCTTTATACAACAATATTTAAAGTAAAAATTTTAATTTATCGCTAATCAATCAGACCTTATGATTAATTGAAATGTAGGGTTGTAAAGGTTGAAGAGAAAACGTAACATATAAAAATGATTTTATATACAATTCAGTGCGGAATATAAATAATTTTGGTTTCGAAATAGTTACAAAAGGACGGTGGGGAAAGGAAGAGTGAGGATTCAATGGTGGTAGCCGTGCCCCAGGGCGAGCGGTGCAGCGACTACGTGGGCGGGGTGGACAGCGTGTACTGCATGGACAACGGGTGCTGCATGGACTACGGGTGCTGCATGGACTGTGTGGACGACTGGAGCCGCATGAGCGACCGTCTTGACCACTGGGACGGAGTTGTGGACGACCCTGTACGAGTTGGAATAAGATGTGGCGAGGGATGCGGTATGAACGACCGGTGCTGCGTGAACTACCGGAGCTGCGTGAACGACCGGGGCTGCGTGAAAGACAGGTGCTGCGTGGCCGTAGGCGAGCCCACCGTGGGCGTAAGGCGCCCCGATGATCCCGGCGGAGGCGGCGACGAAGAAGAGGGAAAGAACTGCTGCCTGAAAATACAAAACCAACTGATCAAAGAACAACTGTTTCTCACCAGATGACGGTAGGAAGGGACTTTGGGATGACCTATTGGACAACCCCAGCAATACATAATCAAAAAGAGAAAAACTGATAACTCTTTCTAAAGCTCTTAATACTATTTACTACTTTTTACTATTTCAAGTAAAAGTTAATTACTATAAAATTAATTTCAATGTTTACAATTTAAGACTTTAAAATACAACCAGTTCTTCTGGCTACTATCATAGCGAAGAACATTGGGAATGTCAAACATATGGCTTTAAAGTTGATTGGGGGTTGGTCTGCGAGTTGATAAGCATATGTTGAACCGGCACTGGGTCCGTCTGCACTCGCGAGGACATCAGAACATTATACCACGCTAGGTGAAGGGTTACCGGAGTTTGTAGTTTTTTTTTAAATGAGTACCACAAATACAACTATCAAACATCAACAACCTGTTCATTTGAACCACTCCCCGTTGTCCTAGCCTAGCCTAGAGTAGGCTGTCGATAAGTGTGGGATGGAGCAGTATGTGATCTCAGATTTGTATGATTCTTTGAGCGTCAAATGCAATTTATGTTGTAATATGTATGATTTATAACAGAACAGTTTTCAAGACTTGATTAGCTTTAGCCTGTAAAAGATTTACATCAACCTTTGCCTGTTGGCCATTTCACTTCTCATTAGGTTCGTTATTTAAAAAGACATACATAGAACAGTGGTGGAATGACTTGAACTTGCTGGTTTTTAATGGAACAAAACATAAAAGGTCATTTGGTTTTGGATACTTTAGACTTAATTAGCTGAGAAGCCACGTGGTTGTACTGTATTTTTGGTTGTGAAATGTTGTATATCACCGAACCATGCAAATTGTGCGGGTTTCCCCTTTGGAATAGAAGGTTTGTTGTTGTTTTCAACCGAGGTCGTGTACTTTACTCGAAATAAGTCCGGAGAAAGTAAGGAGAGCACGTCGACCTTTAGTCTTCAGGAGGAGTAGGCCGGGATGAAAACAAAAAGACTATGACGCAACCAAGGCTGATTTCCGCCCTTGACCCAATGCCCACAGATTCGAATTTTTTGCCCCCTAAGGGCTGCTGTAAATCTCCCAAGACTTATACGGTTTAAGAGATAACGGTATCTCTAGAAACGGTTTCTTAATGGAATAAACGAATCAGGTTCACTGAAAAGTCCCGTCGCAAAATTACGCACTGTATTTGGTTTCCACTGGTCTGGGGCTTTTACGACTTCGTTCTTCGTTCGCCTGTAAACGGATACTTACGAGTTTATACATGTTTCCCTGTCGGTTTGTGAGACTGACTGTGACGAGTCTTGGGCCAGTCGTACCTTATATACCGTGTCCCCTTCACCAGTGCCGTGGAGGGGTCGCTGCTACTGTCAGCGTCTGGGCGAACAGCCGAAAAAAACAATTCAGGAAAAACTAGGTGAGAAATTGCATGAAAACATTGTATCTGATAGTATCTAAAAACCACTTAAACCAAATTTCAATAATTGCATCCATTATCAATATATTTTATGTTTTTACGACTATATACTGTTATCGCCTAAACTACGTGCAATTCATTATAAAAAGTGTCTGTCTTAACTAAAAACGGCTTGTTTTTTTCCTAGTTTTTCCTATATTTAGGTAGGACTGCATATTGACTTCGCTCAGCTTGAAAACTCACAGCCCATAAAACCATGGGGTTCAATTGAGACATAAATAGAAAGTTAAAAGGATTAAATCTGAAGCAACACTCTAGAGGCCTGAATTCGTTGTGAATTTGTTCAACCAAAACTCTGCCAACCGGATACCAATTTTAAAGAATTTTATAAAAATCTATCTCTACGCCGCCCAAAAACTCTAAAAATATAAAAGAACGAAGTATTATGTTATTACGTCGTGATATAATCCATGTTTCCAATGTCTGAGAACAAGATACACAAAGTAAGCTATGTAACCACTTTCGCAGAATCCATTTTTAAACATCCGCAATTTTTTCAATCGGGTCAAAATGAAACATAAGCCAGTGCTTATGAAAAACAACAAAAGATTGGATAATCATATCTTAAAAATACTCCAATGTTAATAATAAATTACAATTAATTAAAGTTTTTAGTTGAGATAAAAAAAGTCAATGGTACGAGCGGGATTCGAACCCATGATCTTCGGCTAGATACGCCGCTGCTCGATCCACTCGGGCACTAACTTACCATCTCAACCCCACCTTTTGAATTTTCCCTCATTTTTGCCATTTTTCATGTTAATAATAAAAATATTAAAATTTGGAAAAATGGGATATTAATCGTCATTTATTTGTTAGAATCAACCCTTCCATCTCTAACCACCCCTTACCCAATAGATTACGATATTATGATATTGTAATTACTTGTAATTAAAGCAGAAATCGATCGGATGTGAAGGAATCGCAGGTGATGTGTACGTAGTAAAGAGATAGATAAATAAATGCACTATTTATTTTTAAAAAATGAAATATTCTACTACAAATGCATATTTACCTATGAATACAAGGATTGCCCGAAGTCGGTGCATAAATCGAAGAAAGCAGAGAAAAAAACTAAAAAATACAGGCATACAGCAAAACATTAAATAAAACTTTAGATTAAATGCTCTTTTAAATAAGATTAAGTTACAAAGAAATACAGATACACAGACACTAAAGGTAATTAAAATGGGAAAAGGGATATCAATCTTAAGTAGTTTTAAATAATCCATCCCTGCATCATCTGAGTCTCTACAATTCCTAACCATTAAATATTTAGACCTAAAACTGTCCATAATAAACAACCTAATAGAAATAGACGTATATAGAAAACCCACAACTACAAACACCATGATACCAGCGGATTCTTCCCACCCATGGTCCTAAAAGGTTGCTGGTTTCATTTGGCTCATAGACCGGATGTTAAAACTTCCGCTAACACCTGATAACTATAAAAAAGAATTAAAAACTATTAAAACCTTAGCAAAAAACAACAGGTATCAAGAAATATTTATTGATAGGTTGCTAGTTAAAAGAATAAAAAAATTAACTTTAAACGAATCAACAATAGGACTCAGCCACCCCACCACAAATGAATCATTAGGTTTCCGTTGTTTGCCATACATTGGTGAATTATCGGAAAAAGTTAGTAAAATTTTTAAACAAGAAGGTTTTAGAATAGCTTTTAGAAGTACGGGTTCACTTAAAAACATCCTCTCAAAACCTAAAGACAAAGTAGACAACTTGGCAAAAAGCGGGGTTTACCAACTCAATTGTAATGATTGTGATATTAAATATATAGGACAAAGCGGTAGAGAAATAAAAACAAGAGTAAAAGAACACTTGCCTAAATCGAGCAAATTTTCGGAATTTAAGGACCATCTAAAAGAAACAAAACATAATTTCAATTCAAATTTAAATACAAGAGTGTTACATAGTTTCAACAAAGGGAAAGAACTAGATTGGTTTGAGAAATTTGAAATTAAAAAATGTAAAATTGAACATGGTGATAAATGCATTAATAATATAACAGATTTTGATCTACCTCCCATTTTAAATATGTACATAAATAATATCAAACATCCAAATAATTAAACTAATTATTTTAATTGTTATTATTTTTATAGTAATTTAATAATATTAAGTATTTACTAGTATAATATTTATTTGTGTTATAATTTCCGCGTTTCGCACGTTCAAATTGGACGTCATTAAAAAATCAAATTGGAACGTCGCGTTGGCGGAGGTATCAGCGGGTTCACTTCGGCAATTCATGTCGAGAGACGTGGTTGTAGAAGTCCTTCAACCTGATGATGAGCTAAAAGGCTCGAAATCCGGATTATTGCAAAACAACTTACTGTGAGTAGGACTATCCTTTTAAAAGTATTAAATGTTTCTTTTCTTTCTTCCCTGTTTCTAGGCCTGATTGGCTTTAACAGATTTAACAGGGGACTACTCGAAACATTGGCTTATGCTCGGCCTAATGATCGCATCCTTACGTCTACTTGGGTATGTCACACAGTGAGGATAGGATGGACCTCTGGTCACATGAGGCTTTATTGTCATTCCCTGCTGTTTGGCAGTCTTTGGCAGAGGCATTATAGTATACATGAATTTCTACGTTGCTCTGAAACTCGTCTTAGATGTTAAAATGGAGTTGCCCGTACCGGAAAGTAGTTGTCCTCCTGGATCGTAGTCTTCCATTCCTTTCGCTCTTCACAGTAGATCCTACAGGGTAGGACGTGTTCGGCTGTTTTTCTTGTCCATAATTTTATGAGGGGGTCCGAACTCATGTAGTTTTCCCGCGAAACCCCGTGCCTTGTCTTGAATTGTAATAGGGGTCCATCTGTATATGCGTCTGCCGTCCTTGATTTTATAGGTCGTCCTGCCTTTCTGCGACGCATCCCGTCTACTTTACCACGTAGCCACGTCCCATTCTTCTGCATGGCAGGTTGCCACACTAGGGGATGATATTTCAAAACCGCCAGATTTTCGTGGTCCACGTTAGACATACCTTACCATTTTTAACCATCCCTAACGTCTCTATCCACTGGGCTTCCTCTTTTTCTAACCTGCTGTTCCAACGGCTGATCGCCTCTCAGATAGAACTTAGGCGTTCGCGCCTTCATACAGTTTGAATTTTACATTTTCCTTGTTTCGTTATTTTTGCATAATGATTATTATCGTTCACTGTTAAGCTGAAGCGTTGACAGACTTTTAGCTAGGCATGGTTCCTTTACATAAGAAAGGTTACATCCCTAACCTTCTATAACCATTTCTAACCAACCCTATTACAACATTGCCCAGTTCACGGTGACTTTAATGTGGGTTTTTCGTAATCAAGTCTGCCAAGGCAGATGTGCTTATAGGTTATCGTTGGTATCCCCAGGTCGCTTTAATTACCCATCTTATTTATGCATATTTCAATATGATTTTTGTTTCAGGGAAATTGTATGTCCTCTTATGTTGCGCTCAAGTTGTTAACATGGTTGAAAGTTAGGATGGGCTGTCCTTTATGGAAAATGACTTGCCTTTTGAGAAGTTGAGCAGGGGTTTTATTAATGGTAGCAGTTTGTAATTTGTAGCTACTGCACTATTCTTCAATTATTTCTAAGACTATCTTCTATCAGCATCCACTAATATCGCCAGGCCGTCCATAAAGGTTGTTATTTTTTGCAGCTTGCATAATGTTATTCTTACTCACTGTTAACCTGAAACGTTGACAGACTTTTAACTAGGCATCGTTCTTTTACTTAAGAAAGGCTACATCCCTAACCTTCTTTAACCACCCCTAATCACTGTTAACCCACTTTGCGTCCTCACTTTTCATAACCGGCTGGTCGCCTTATTGCCTGTATGCATTTGTTTCATTTCTTAATTCATAAGCTTTTTATTCACGGTGGGTCCGACGATTTACAGACCCTTTGGTTTGGGCATCGATCTTGCTACGTATATTGTTGTTTTTATAAGTTTTGCATTTCTCCTCTGATGCCCAATCCTGAAGTACCACTAGACGGTGGTCTGCGTTTTCTATAGGGTTAAGAACAACGAACACACCTCTTGAGGTGATGATTAATGTGCATCTATGTGCTCGGATTGGTAAATCAGCTTTGATCATTGCCGATATCCATGCGGTGTTTGCATAGTTAAGTCTGCCAAGGCTGATGTGCTTATAGGTTATCGTTGCAGATCTATTATGGTATCCCCAGGTCGCTTTAATTACCCTACCTATTTATGAATATTTCAACATGATTTTCTGTTTCAGGGATCTTGTCTGTCCTCTTATGTTGCGCTCAAGTTGTTAACATCCAAAGTTAGGATGGGCTGTCCTTTATGGATTGGCTTGTATATTCCCTGTGCATATTTGACTTTTGAGTAGTTTTACTGGTTTTATTGGTAGCTATTTTTAATTTGTGGCTACTGCACCATTCTTCAATTATTTCTAGGGATAGCTTCTATCATCTCAAGGGGTCACCTTCCACTAATATCGCCAGGTCATCAATAGGTTATTCCTGTAATATTTTTGCATTCAAGTTTGGTTAGGATGTCATCAGAAACTTCATTCCACATCGGTGTCCCAAAAACTGAGCCCTGCGGTCAACCTTTGTCAGATTGGACACTGACGTCACAGCCACTGTCTAAACATTACCTTCCTTTCTGTAAAGTAAGTCCTCAAGATGGAAGATGGTGTTATCTATAAAATCCTCGACAGAAAAATATACACTTACGATTGGCCACAAGAAGGAATCAAATACTAACCACTCCTAACCATTCCTAATGACTACTAACAATTTTTAACCATTCCTAACCATCTC